TTAATCTTTTATCTAATAAATAGCTGGCAAAGATTTTTCTCCCATTCTATAGGATCTCTCTCTCTCTCTATCTGGTAGGTTGTCTTTTGATTCTGATAATTGTTTCCTTTGCATGCAGAAACTTTTTAATTTGATGCAATCCCATTTATCAATTCTTCCTATTATTTCCTGAGCTAGTGGAGTCCTGCTCAGAAAGATATCTGTTCCTATATCTGAAAAGTGCTTTCAAAATGTATTCCTCTAGTAGTTTCAAAGTTTCTGGTCCTACATTTAGAACTTCAATCCAATTTGAATTAATTTTTTGTAGAAGGTGAGAGACAGGGGTCTAGTTTCAGTCTTGTACATGTAGCTCTCCAGTTTTCCCAACACCATTTGTTGTCTCCTGTATGCTTTTGGTTCTTTGTCAAAAATCGGATGGCGCTTATATCTGGGTCTTGTATCTACTCTACTCCATTGGTCTGTGTTTGTTTTTGTGCCAGTACCACCCTGATTTTACTTCTCTGGCTCTGTAGTATAATTTGAAGTCACATATGTGTTACATCGGCATTGCTCTTTTTGCTTAGGATTGCTTTGGTTATTTGGGGTGCTTCCATATGAATTTCAGAATTGGTTTTTTCTATTTCTGTGAAGAATGACATTGGAATTTTGATGGAGATTGCATGCTTTTGGTAGTATAGTCAGTTTCACAAAATCAATTCCGTGAAAGCGCCATCTTGATGTGACTTTTCTCAAAGAAAGGCAGACTGCCAGAGCAAAGGAGCTCCACTATATACCAGCAGTGAGAAGCTGCACTGCGTACTTTCAGGAGCAGGAACTGAGGTGGTGACTTAGCGTTAGGATAACAGAATAGAAAACATGTGGACATACACAGCAAAACACGTCGGAATTACCTTGGAGTTGAAAGTAGATATTCTAGACAAAACACAAGTGAAAATGTGAAACAGAGATGTGTGCCATGTTCTGGGTTAGAAGGACTCTTTATTTCACAAATCCCCCTAACAGTAGGATGGGGGTGCCTCGAACAAATAATGCTTTCATTTATATACAATAAATACCTATCCATAAATAAATATGTGGTAAAAACTGAGAAATTCTGAGAATTAGCAGAAAAAGAGTAGGAACTTTTAGTTGGTATAAAAAAAACCCCTATTTTAAAGTTACAGCTGGCAATATTAGCACAGATAGATCAGTAGAAAAAAGAGAAAATTTGGGAGTGAACTTTGTACATGATTCAGTATGTGACTGCAAATAACTGAGTGGGGGAGTCAAAGAAGATTAAGAGGACAATTGGCTAAACCATTTAACAACAATAAAAAAAGGTCCCACTCCCACCCCCAGAAAATGCACTCTTATCCTAAAATAAATTTCCAAAAGACTTAAGACTTAAATGCTTAAAAAATTATGGATTGACTGGAGGTGTGGCTCAAGTGGTAGAGCACCTGCTTCACAAGTGGGAAGCCCTGAGTTCAAACCCCAGTTACATACATACACACACACACACACACACACACATGGAAATGTCACAATGAATCCCCCTATACGACTAATATATGATAATAAAAAAATTCTTAATACCAAAAAAAAACAATAGTTATAAAAAAAAAAAATTATGGATTATATCTATTACCTTGAGACTGGAAGGTCCTTGTAAGCTAGCACCAAAGACAAAGGGCCTAAGGAAAAGGACTGATATTTTTGGGTGACTATATAATACCAAGTTTAAAAACAAAAAACAAGGTTCCCCTTAATGGAAATGACAAACTAAAGAATTGTTTATAAAATACATGATAGTTACAAATTAAAATTACAACAATATAAAGAGATTTTACAAATCAATAAAGGACAAACAGGCCACATATACTATTTAAGAAAGCAATTCTGCTAGGCACTGGTGGCTCACACCTGTAATCCTAGCTACTCAGGAGGCAATCAGGAGGATTGCAGTTTGAAGCCACTATGGGCAAATAGTTGGTGAGACCCTATCTTGCAAAATACTCAACACCAAAAAAGGCTGGTGGAGTGGCTCAAGTGTAGAGCACCTGCCTAGCAAGCAAGAGGCCTTGAGTTCAAAACCCTGTACCATCAAAAAAAAAAAAAGAAGGAATTCAGAAAGATAGAAATACAAATGGGCAATCAACAGACCCAACTGTCACAGAGATGCAAGCAAAATGTTGAAACATCATTTTTCATCCACCAGATTAAACAAAATGAATGAGATCAACATCTAGGGGTATTGAGGCTATCTGCTGATGAGAACAAAGCTGGCAGAAACTTCTGTATAAAACTTCTCCAGCAATATGTGGTACACTGTAAAACATATACTGTTTACATCCCAACAACTTCACTTCTAGGAGCTTAGCCTAAGTGATACATTTATATAGTCCTGTACAAGAGCAGTACACATCTGGAAACACTCTAGGCACATTGCACAATACAGTGTTATTAAATAAATTATGGTACAAATTTGTAATGCAGTCATTATTGACAAGAAAAATGTATCTAGGAAATGCTGATGAGTGAAAGCATGTTACAAAACCACATACGTAGTTTGACTCCATTTTGGTTACCCTGAATGGTGCTAGAAAGGATGACAATGGAGACGCACCACCCCTCCTTCTCCCAAGATGGTTCATTCTCTCTGCAGTGAGAGTACACTGCGCTTTTGTAATTGATTTGCTTCATTGTGTCCTCAGCTCACAAACTTGAACCCAAAGAGGACGGCCATGTCTTCCTTCCCTTCCAGAAGCAAGCTCCTGGTTTAACGGACGAGTGTGGTAAGCAAAAGGTTCTCAACACACTATTTGATAGACTTACAGGGCCACTGGTTTTCTCTTAGAACAGAATGGGAAAATAGAAGGTTTAGAAAATCAGAATGTGAAATTAGCAATAGAAAGGGAGAATTCTTTTCTATTTCCTATAAATTCAACTTAAATATTAACTTTATTCCAAGCTAATGTGAGATTTCAAGATAATCATAGCTGCTTTGATCCTACCTTAAGTGCTCTATTGCTGTTCTAGGTCTTGAGTCAGAAAACAGACTATTAACTATTTTCCCTAATGAAGCTCCATACATTTGCTTAAGTGTTGCTTTTCTAGAAGTGATGGGTGGAGGTACTCACAGTGAAAAGTCAGGTGTAGAAGAGTCATGCTTTACTTCAGATTATACATAACATTGTTTAGAAAGACCCGACTTTCCCCAAAACCCAAAAGGCTGTCCAGAAATTAGCTCAGTAGCTAGGTCAAGTGCTAGCAAATGTCAGGAAAGAAAACTAGATGACACAATTCAAGTCACAGATCTGTCTGAACCCATTTCTCTATTCCAAAATAAGAACCAGTAACCCCTGCCCTTTCTACCACACAGAACTTTGTGAGGATGGCATGAAAGGGGTACCTGTTCTACAGCCAAGGACGTAAACAGAAACTAGGGCCCAAAGCTAATCGGCTCTGGGAAAAACATGTTCCATGTCTGGGCAAACCCCCAAATTTGATTCCTGATCTAGAAGCGAACTCAGGAGTGGATCCAATGCTCAACTTTATACACTGTCCCTAAGACCTGTCATGAAGGTCCTCCATTTCCGCCTTAGGATCTAGCTTTACTTAGTGGGATTCAGAAGCCTGCTCAATGCCCGGCCCTTTGACTGAAGGAGCCTGCATTCTCCCAGGAGGACCATTAGCTTCCTAAGACTCCCTCCTCCTTAACTGGAAGTCCAATTAGGAAAACCGACAAACCCAAATAACAACAAAACCAGTATCATGGTAAAGCTGCCAGGTACATTTAGAAAACTAAAGCAGTCTTCGTATTTCTGAGAAAGCTAATAAAGGAGAACTGTAGAGAAATTAAGCATCCTTTTTGCAAGTGCTCAGCGCCTACTTCTGTTATATATTAGCACCAGGCAACCCTGCAGTATAATTTGGAACAGTTAAGACAAAATGACCAAGTCTATGTTGTCACAATTTTAGTAATCCTACATTGTGGTGGTTAACCTTCATTGTCAACTTCAAGGGACTGAGTAAAGAGTACTTCCGGATGCCTGTGAGGGTGTTTTCAGAGAGGATTAACTAAGGGGGGAAGACACACCCCAAATGTGGGTGGCACCATTCAGTAGGGTAGAGGCCTGGATGGAATTAAAAGTGAAGGAGGAAGCCTGCTAGCATGGGCTCACTCTCTGATTCCTGAAGGCCATGAGGTAAGCAACACTGCTCTGCCACACTCTTTTGTCACCAGGATATTCTTCCTCCTGATAGCAATGGAGCCCACCAACCCTGGACTGAAACTATTCAACAAAATAAATCCTTCCTCTTCCAACTGTTTCTCTCAGGTATCTATCTGTCTCAGCAATGAATAACTAACACCGACATGAATTGTTTTTACGATCCTGTGGCATATCCAGAAGCTGATATTTTGCTTAATATTTAGTCCATTGTTTTAATCAGAAAGTTTTGATTCAAAGCAAGTGGGATTTCTTCCTTCTATACATTATGCTGAGTCCCCAGGTAGACAATTACATCTTTGGCAGTTAATTCTAGAGCAAGAAATTAGGAGGCTATAGAAATATACAGTATTGACAGAACTAGTAATAAAATAAGGGAGGGAGAGAAGACTCAGATTCTGTCTCTTGATAGAGATGGCCCTTGACACCTGGGTGCCAGTAACTCACTCCTAGCTACTTAGGAGGCTAAGACTGAGAGGATCTCAGTTTGAGGTCAGCCTGGGCAAAAAATTTGTGAGACCCCATCTCAATCAACAGCTGAGTGCAGTGGGGTGCACCTGTCATCCAAGGTATGCAGCAGACTAAGATGGGGAGGATTACAGTTCTACGCCAGCCTGGGCAAAAAGCAAGACACTATCTCCAAAACAATCAGAGGAAAAGAGGTTGTAGGTGTGGCTCAAGTGTTAGAGCAACTGCGTCAACAAGAGCGAAGACCTGAGTTCAAACGTCAGTACTGCCAAAAAAAGAAAAGGAAAAAAAAAAAAAAAAGAGGGAGAGGGATGGCCTTTGAGGAAAATTCTTTCTCTTCTGAAGCCCTACCTTACACTAACCACAATAATTTGTAATGGTTAAAAACTGAGTTCAAGAGCTGTGAAAACAGTGAATTAGAATTGTTGCACCTAAAAATTTAAAATGGCAAGCTATTTGTACAGTCTGTTGAGAGCACTGCTCTCTATTTGCCTATGCTGAGAGCGAGAAGGCTTTGAAGGCTGGCACTGAATAAGCAAGTGCTGGCACTGACTTTTCCAACCAGGGGGAACACTTTGCCCTTGAACAGCTTCGTGGGCAGTTCCTATCGTCTTTCATCTGCTTACACGTGCAGGTGTCGTGGCCTGTTTTCTGTTGCTCTAACAGAATATCCAAGAGTGGGTGATTTAAGGACAAGTGAGAGTATGTGAAGTATGTGAATGAGACAAAACCCAAGGGACAGACTCACTCTTAAACAACCTGCTCTCGCGGTATCTAACAAAGTCATGTGTGAGTGAGAACTCAGTTGTGCAAGAAAGGTGTTAATTCCTCTTCACAATCCAATCGTCTCTTAAAGGTCCCAACACCATTACAAGTGGCAATCAAAATTTAACCTGAGTTTTGGTGGGGACGAAGTATATACAAACCATTGCACCAGGTCACTCAGATTTGTCCTACACCATCATCCAACACCAGAAAGTGCACCAACACGGTGCACAATTCCAGGGCCATGTCTGCATCTGCTCTACCCTGATGGTATGAATGTTACCGGCCCCGTCTTTCCTCTACAGGTTTTAAATTCTCTACACCTAGTAAAGGAGGAAGAAGGAGAGAAGCCCCGAGCTTCTCTTTCTTCTCCATTCATTTATTTCTGAGCCTTGGAGTTGATCTATCAGAGAAAAAAGTTAACACCAAAAATAACACACTCCATCTGTAAGTGACACAGAATGACAGAAGGCCCAGTACTGCCTCTAGCTAATGTTTCATGGGCCATGAAAGCAGTCACGGCCACTGAGACTGTAGGTAAGGCATGTCCCTCACCGTTATTACCCCTCCCTGTAACATGTGGAGGCTGGCCTGGCTATGACCTTGACATTGCTTCAGCCCATGGTTACTGCATTACCACCAAACCCCAACTTCTAAAGGGAGATGCAGAGCACTCTGAGGAGATGCTCAGTAACGAAAATTTAACCCAGGTAAGTATAATCTAAATTGCAGACATTTTTGCCGGCAAGCAGGCATTACTTTTGAACACATACAAAACAAGTAGAATTGCCTCACAGCAATGCTGCCTAACAGACATTGCAAGTAATTTACTGGAAGAGCCAGGCTAATCTCATTTCTAATTAACATATCAATTAATGATAGGGAAAGAACTGCTTCTGAAATGCTTGAAACATTTGCCCACATCAATGTTCTTTATCATTTCCAATGATCTCCTCCATAAAGTCAAATTCCAGCCCCAAGTTAAGTCCATCTCATTACAGACTATGAAAGAACGGATTCTGAATTAATTACAGACACTATAAAAGAAGATACAGACTCTCTTGCATCCAGCGTTTACAGAAGCTGACTTGTAGGCAACACTCAGATCAGACTCTTATGATCTGTCAACACGACATTGCACATCAAGCATCTCAAGCTCATAGACACAGAACTGGTCCAGAAGCAGGAATGACAGCAATGATTTCCAAGTTTCCTTCTTCGGGGGAACTCCACAGAGAGAGCCACCATCTTGGGTCCAGGAATGAGGCCACGCTGGGAATGGAGAAATATGCAGGTTCGAATACCCCTCTGGATGGAAGCACACAAGGCCTCGATGAAGCACTGAGAAGCTGTCAGAACACTCACCAGCAGCAGTGCTTCCTTCTCATCCACAGTCTACACAAGTAGGAGAAGAGGAGAGAAACGGTGAGCACCCCTTTTGTTTTACCATAGAGCATCCCCATGTGCAAGCTCACACACAGTTGGTAAGAGGGAGTGGGGGAAAGCAATGCAGGAGATCAGCCATTGCACTGCATGTGGCCACGGCAGCCATCACTGTTGCTGATCTTTTCCTGAGCCAAGAGGGCATCTCTTTGCTACCCTGAGTTGCAAAGTTAGTCATGCATTTTACCTACTGACTGTGCTCTGCTGAGCCAGGACAACCTCCACCCATGTCCCGTATGACATCCCCAGCTGTTCTGATGACTCCCATCCCATCCTCCCCTCCATTCCACTAATTTCTCAAAAATGACAGTCCCACATACCACACTGCTGAGAAGGAGAGGAATGCAAGCACGATCACAAAAACTATGGAGCCCAGTCCAACACCCACCATCTGCTGCGGTGTGAGTGACGAATCTGTGGGACAAAACCACACACTGAGTCCACAGCGCATCACATCACAGCCCTCCCAGGAGATGCACATCCAACTGTGCTCATTCCATTTTAACCCCAAGCTGAGCCTCATTGAACAAAGAATCCCAAGAATGCCCTCCAGTGCCTCTGAGGCCCTGAGTCCTGCAGTCACGGTGTGGACTCAGGGCCTCAGGAAACCACAGTTTCAGGGTATTTCTGAAGAGGAAGTATAAAACCAGACTTAAACTAAAGTCACAAGGGAGAAAAAAAGCTGAATCTGTGAGCATTAAATATATACAATGTATTGCTTTAATGTATTGTTTTGTGTTGGACCTCTCTCAAGTCAATTACATTTAATAGATTTTTATGGAGAGTTTCTCTTTGCATGTGGGATGAAGTCATTTTGACATTATTTAATTTTTGGTTCAAAAAATGTTAGTTAGCTCCATGATCAAATAGAGCAAACAAGTAACTTTGGTTGAGAAAAGTCCCCCCTTCTGTTCCCTGTGCCTCAACAATTAAAACAGTAAAAGGATTCTGAAAGACTCATTCTGTTGGAGCAGCATCACAGGCTGATTCCAGGGAGATTCCTGGCACATTTGGGCCAGAGACTGCAATGTGCCCTAGACTACATCAAAGGCTCTGTTTTAATTTGCAAACACTTACTTAGCAGTTACCATGTGCCGGACACTGTCCCAAGCCCCTCAAGCCCCTCACAGCTGGTCTTATTTAGTCTCCTATGATAGTTAATCATGATTGTCAACTTGATTGGCTGGAGAGACAGGTAGGAAATTAGGAAAGCCCACTTCTGGGTGTGTCTGTGAGGGCGTTTCCAGGGACAATTGGCACCTGAGGTGACAAGAGAGTTGGGGAAGACTTTCCCTAATGTGGGAAGCACCATCCAACATACATGGTGGGGGTCCAGATGGAACAGAAACAGGAGGAAGCCTGCTAGAGCAGGTTAGCTCCCTCTGTCTCTCTGCGGTCTGGCACCTCTCTGCCACACTCTCCTGCCACCATGATGCTCTGCCTTACCTTAGGTCCAAAGCAACAACGGTCAGCTGACCATGGACTGAAACCCCTGATACTGTGAGCCAAAATAAGTCTTTTCTCCTTTTAAGATGTTTTCTCAGGTATTTTGTCACCATGATGGAAAACTCACTAATACATCTTCTAACCACTTTTTACACTGGACACTATTATTACTCCTTTTCTTTTTGGTGGTTCTGGGGTTTGAATTCAGGGCCTCACACTTGCTCTACCATTTGAGCCACACCCCCAGCCTATTATTCCCATTTTACAGATGAGGAATCAGGCCTGGAGTGGTTAAGCACAGCTCTGATCTTTACAACTAGGTTAAGAGCAGTTTGGGTATACTAGAAACTCTGTAGGGTACCTCTTGCTAAAGAGTCCTGCAAAACTCATAGGCACGAAAAATTGCTATCGAGAGACTTCTTAGAAAAATGTGTATTTGCCGGGCATCAGTGGCTCACGCTTATAACCCTAGCTACTCAGGAAGCAGAGATCAGGAGGATCGCAGTTCAAACCCAGCCCTGGCAAATAGTTTGAGAGGCCCTATCTTGAAAAAAACCCATCACAAAAAAGGGCTGCTGGAGTGGTTCAAGGTACAGGCCATGAGTTCAAACCCCAGCACCACAAAAAAAAAAAAAGAGTGGAAGTGGGTGTACACCTGTAATCCCAGCACTCAGGAGGCTGAGGCAGGAGGATTGTGACTTTGAAGCCAGCCTGGGCTATGCAGCAAGTTTAAGGCAGCATGGCTATGTAGCAAGACTGTCTGAAAATAAAACAAAACAAAAAATTAAAAAAAGGAAAACTATGGGTTATATTATTTGATTTGGAATGTAAGGGCCTTGACACTTTAAGAAACTAGATTGTAAAATGGAAGGATCAGGGATTAAATAGAAATCCATTACTCAGATCAGAAGGTGTGCACTACTGGACACGATGACAGTGCAGGATCAGTATAGGAATGAATGTGCTGGACACGAAGCCAATTATAAATCATTCCATCACGCCAATACTGAAGCCAGGCTGCCCAACCCTTTCTCTAAACACCATCCCTCCCTAACAGTGCGACTTTGAGCAAGTCAGTCAGCCTTTCTATGCCTCGGTTTCCACACAGAGGGAAATGAAAACAAAATTACCCACCATAGAGGGCGGTGTGAGAAACAAGTGAGTCAATGTACGTTAGAACAGTGCCTGCACTCAGAAACAGGAAGAAATGTTAGCTATTGTTAATTACTGTTGTTTCTGTTTCAAATCACCAGGGATATGACAAATTATTCATAACTAGTGTGGAGAAAATTGGTTAACCATTTAGAATAAAGTGATTTTTGATCACTAGTGCTTATACCATATACCAAAATGAAATCCAGATGATTAAGGACTTAAATTAAAACGTGAAATACTTATATTAAATTGGGTAAGAATTTTCTGAGTATATTTATTAAAGCAGGAGACTTAAGAGAGTGACTAGCCACATTAAAAAATATACACTTTGTATGCCAAAACCTACCGTAAGAAAGATGATAGGTAAATGGCAAACTGGGAACAAATATTTGGCATATGTTAGCCAGGGGGTAGCAAACCCCCTGAGGGTCACAAACTAACCAGGAAAAGACAAAGAGCCCAATAGCAAAACAGGAGAGTCTATGAAAAGGTAAGTCACGTACAGCACACGCTTGCAGGTTGCTGAACCTTTGATTACACGTTGTCTTACAGGTAATGAAAATGCACATTACAACACTGGCATGCTATTTTTGTGTGCAAAATTAGAGAGGTGTTTGGTTTTGCTTTTTAAGAGAAAAGTAAGCAATGGAGATGGGGTGAGGGAAGAAGCTGTTACTTGCCTGAGAATTTCATTCAATCCACCCAGTATTCTTCCCAGCTTTTGTCATCAATACATTCCCTTATATTTTTTCTTCTATACTTTCATTCTCAATATATTTTAATCTTTGATTAATGAAAATGTTGAACTGAAGATGACTGTGGACAGAGATCCACATTGTGCATATTCAAATTTGATATCAATTCATTAAGAGTTGTTAATAAGGGCAGGAGTGGTATTTCATGCCTATAATCCAAGCTATGTGGTAGGTATAGGTAGGAGGATTATGATCTGAGGCCAAACCAGGTCAAAAAAAGTGCAAGACCCTATCCGAAAAATAATTGAAGTAAATAAAGATTGAAGGCATGGCTCAAATGGTAGAGCACCTACCCCATAAGCGCAAGGACTTGAATTCAAACATCAGTACCCATCCCTCCCTCAAAAAAAAAAAGTTATTGAGTTGAAATTAACTTCTCATAGCTATTCAGCATGTTCCTAAGCCTACATGTGGCCCTCATGCCACCATACTGTCCACGAGGGAGTTGTGAAGTGTTTGCTGACGTTCAAATACACTCCCCTTGCTGGATTTTCCTGATCAGTGAGTGACTCTGCAAGAGGAGGAGCAACGCAGACTCATCTGCTCTCCCAGCGCCTGTGCTGTATTCCTGCAGCTCACAGAACCACAGCTTCTGGCACACAAGTAGTCATCAAGTGAAGATCTGGCCTGATCTTGACTTCAAGGGAACATCATCTACACTTTTGGTGGCTCCTGTGTTCGTACAAAGATCCTTGCTCTTTGCTCATCTCTAGTCTTCTCACCTCTCTCCTATTCTTCCAGAGTTCTCAAAGATCACCTGCAAAGGTGTAGCCATCTCAGTTGAAAAGTGTGCGAATGTGCTTTCTGCAGGTGGAAGACTTTCACCTAGGTAGGGCTGTTGGTTCTTCCCATGCTTTCAAATGTCCCCTTACAAGCCAACAGGACAGATGCAAAGTGAGGAACGTGACTTCCTCTTGACCATCCACCAGTAGCACCACTCTAAACAGTGCCCCCAACCGTTCCTTACTGTAGATGTGAGTATTAAAAATGATCTTTATTTATTCTGCATAACATGATTTAGACTTTGACTCCAGACACAATTCCTGCTGGTAGGACAGATCTTGGCTGTAGTCTTTTTTGCCTACTTTACATAAGTATTCTGCAAATCTCCAAAAGCACTCATGGCTGTAGCTTCTTCAGGGACTTCCTCCATGAATTCCTTACTAACTAAGAAAACTTACAACTTGCTAGTTTGAGCTGTATTTTTTATAGCCTTGCCATCCTCTGGTTCCCCTCCTTTCCACAGTCTCATGACAGGGAATCACGCTATTTTTCTTCTGAGTCAGCTGTAGACTATTCATGTAGAAATGTAGGTGACTGGTTTCTCAGTTACTCACTTAGAGAAAGTAAGTCCCTTGGGACTGGATGTTCTTTACCGTTCTCTTAATGCTGGCACCCTCAAGAAGACACTAGCTTAGGAGTTAAGACCCCTTCTCTGATAGGAACATCACAGGTGCTGAAGAAGAAGTTAGAAAGGCCCTGTTTCTATCCTCAGCCTTTGTGACAGTTTGAGGACTCACTTTGGGTGTGGACATTTTTTCAAGAATTTACACAGGCACAGCCATTTCCTGAAAGCAACAGTTCTGTTTGCCAAATGGTACAAATAATTAGCACTGTGACTTAGTGTGTTCAATTTCTCTTTGCTATTCTAGGGTCTTCTTACTTGAATTCCCTAGAGAGCAGGAGATAGCAAAGGAGATCAAAGTAGTGATAAGTAATGCTAGGTAAATCAGCGACACTGTTGCCTTCACTTTTTATTGCAGCTTAACAAATTACTATAAATGTAGGTGGCTATAACCCACTTATTAGCTCACAATTCTGTGATTCCGAAGTTCAGGCACACTGTGACTGGTTCTCTGCTCAGGATCTTATAAGGCTGGATTCCAGGCACCAGGTGGCCTGCATTTCCTTCTGGAGCCTCTGGGGGAGAATCCCAGACACATTCAGGTTATCACCTAGATTCAGTTCCTTGCAGCTGTAGGACTAAAGACCCCATTTTCTTACTGACTTTCAGCAGGGCCCACTCTCAGCCCCTACAGGCCACCTGTATCCCTTGCCATGTGGCCCTCTCCATCTTTAAAGCCAGCAGAAGAATGTCTCTGGGTCAAATCCATCTCACCTTTTGAATCTCTAACTTCCCCAGTCCCTGACCTGCAGACCAAGAGTTAAGGGGTTCACATGGCTAGCTCAGCCCCCCTGGGATAATCTCTCTATTATGGACTTGAATTTGATGTTCAAAATCTTTCCACAGCAATACACAGATTATAGTAACTGACAGAAGATGCTGTACACCAGAGGCCAGGAATTTGGGGGAGGGGCTACCTTGAAATTCTGCCTACCACAACTATGAAGGTTTAGAGTGTATGTGCGCGTATGTGGAGGGTTTGTTCCAGGACCCCCTCAACAAAATCCTCTATTGCTCAGGTCCCTTATGTGAAATGCACAGGGTTTGCAAAAATAACCCACAAAATCCTCTCAATGCTTTATACCAACAGTGTACTTAGAATAGTTAATGCAACATAAATGTGTGTAAATAGTTGTTCTACTGTGTTGCTTCAAGAATAAGAGATAAGAAAAAAAGGTCTATTCACTACAGAAGCAATTTTCTCCCAAATATTTTCAATAAGTGTTGGCTGACTCCACAAATGTGGAACCCACGGTATACTGGGTCACCTGGGTACAGGTACATATGCACTGGAGGCTTGTATCTTCATGCAAGCTTCTCTGACTTATTTAATTCAATAAATATTGTACCTAGTATGCTTCATATCCAAAAAACTGACTGCTGGCTGCCCAGTAATCATTCACTCCATTTCAATACGTTCAGATTGAACACCTAATGCGTGATAGACACTGGCTTAGTTCTTCAAATGCTCTCCCTCAAAGGTTTGAGATCTCGTAGAGAAAGACTCCAGTTGCTCTCCAGTTTGGCAGAATGGCTAAAGGGAGAGAGAGAAAGGATCCTACCCTGTAGAGAAAATGTTTAAAAACTTCAGGATGAGATAGCATTTGGTTTTACTCTTGAAGAACAGGAGGGATTGTAATAAGCAGAGAGTCACAGACTGGTTACTAGCAGGGCAATCTGGGAAGAAGTAATCAGGTGATTGTAAAGACATGAAGGAGAGAAAGTGTGGGTCACATTCAGAGAACAGCTCACATATCAGTCTGAATAGAGAAGAATGAGAGAAGCAATGAGAGATTCATTCCTGTCAAACTGAGGCCTTAGAAACCAGGCTAACAAGTAATGGAGAACCATCCATGGGAGAACCATCAGAGGAAATAAAAAAATTAGCACTGTGTTTTGAAATATGAGTCAGTGGCGACAAGTAGGCTGGAGTGAAGAGAGAAATCCTGAACTCTATTATTTTTGGTGGCACTGGGGTTTGAACTCAGGGCCTCACACTTGCGAGGCAAGCGCTCTTACTGCTTGAGCCCCTATGCCAGCCCTTTTTTTATGATGGGTTTTTTCCAGATAGGTTCTCACAGAGTATTTGCCTGGGGCTGGTTTTGAACCACAGTCCTCCTGATCTCTGTCTCCTGAGTAGTTAGGATTATAGGCGTGAGCTACCTGCACCCAGCTAATCCTGAACTCTTATGATGGAAGGTGAGCAAGGAGTCTTTGCCAGCATCTGCTACAGGGATGAAGGCCTGCACTGGGGATGAAGGCTTGAACACAAATAAAAACTGGTACAATATATAAGCTGAAAGGGAACAAGGAGTAGTCACTAATGACTCAGAGGTTTCATGCCTGTGACCGGAGAATGTTCCCTGATTACAGCTTACTATCATTTCACTGATTCAAGAAATCATAGACTCCTAGTACTTTGTGGTTGAAAGGGATCTCACAGGGCCCAGACAGAGGTGACTAAGAGCTAGCCAAGTTAAATATCATTTCAAAGACACTCTGCTGATTACTAGGTTGACTCAGGCAAGGAAGCCAAGGCCTCTGCATTTGCCATCAAACCAACTGCTGTTCCCTGATTAGCACCTCAAAGCTTTTTAAGGGGCAATATACAAAAGGCAAATAGCATACCTTGTCACTAGGCAAAGGCCAGAATGGGGCTGAGGCCTGGCATGAGTGCACTGGAACAATGTCAGAACTAATGTGGACCTCACTCCTCTCCAAATTACTTTCAGAAATGGCAGCCTTCAATTTTTTTTTTTTAAAGACTAACAGAGATAAATTGCCCCACACAGGTAAATTTTATACACAGATACACTAGAACTGCCTTTAGAATTTCAATGTAGCAGTGGGCTTTCTATATCTTCCAGAGTTTCCCAGTAGTTTTAATTGAAAAGCTCAAATTCTCTTGCAATACTGGTTTTCAAATTGAGGGAGAGAAAAGGGCACTGCCAAAAGCCACACAGATATTCCCAAAGCATAAGTCCTGTCTATTAACTTACAATAAAAAGTGACTGCAGCCAGCTCTGTGGTTCTTTCTTCTACCCAGTTGGAATGTTTTCCAATCATAACAAACAGCTGCTTAGTGGAGTGGATTCTGGAAGCTATTGTTTCTGTGTCTGGAAGCCTGCACATATTAATTGTCCTATAAAAGCAACTTTTCCTTGTAAGAACTCCATTCCCAACCCTAGAACTTTAAGGAATAGAATGGCAGAACATTTTTCAAATGTTGGAATGTGTGACTGTTTCCTGTGTCCTTCATTAAACTCCTTCAAGAAAAGGAGGTTAGCTGGGAGGGTGGCTCGGTTGGTAGAGCACCTGCCTAGCAAGTGCAAGGCCTCGAGTTAAAACCCCAGGACTGCCAAAAACAAAACAAAAGATTCAGAAAAGAAAGGAAGCTTGGCCCATCTTCACAGAGAAGTGAAACATCACACAATTCTGTTAAGAGAGTCCCATGCTGCCTGGCCATTGGCAATCCAAGATGGTAATTCGCCTTACCCAGCTGAAAAGCCAACTCCTCTACCCTTATTGAAGTAAGTTTGAGTACAGATAAAAATATAGGAAATAAGATTGGAGAGAAGCAGGCAAATGGAGGAAGCCTAACTCCCCAGGCCCTTCCCAAAACATTTCCTGCATGTTTACCACCTACTGGCAGGAGAGTAGACTCCCATTGTGAGGTACCATCCACTGGAATCCTCCTGAAACCAGTTACACCAGCGCTTCCTCACCGCACCAGCCTATTGTTCTATGCTGCTCCAACGTGCAGGACACAATGGAAAGGGTTAAAATGAAACTATGGGCTGGGGGCAGAATTCCTCAGCCTGTTGTGAGAACTCCTAAACCACAAGGAAAAGGGCCATATTCGAAGGTCATAAACTTGACAAGATTTCTGGTATTAGCTACAAACTACTGGAATTCCTGGGAATCAGATCCACTGGCTGGCTGCCTGTGGTTTGAAAGAAATATGCAGCCAGGGAAGTCCCAGCCTGGCAGACAAAGACCTGTGATTGCTTGAGCCCTGAGTCAACCTCCCCACCTCTCACCACCCCTGTCCCCTGGATACCTCTGCCCATGTAAAGGAAAAGGTTTGAGTTATACAGCATGTAGCAGGGAGGAAAGGCTTGGAGGAAATGGACAAGGGAGTACTTTCCTCAGATTGACTGACCAACTGCTACCAGGGCACGGGATGCTTGTTTACCTGTCCAGCAGGAAATGGCCACAGTTACGGCCCCTGACCACTGCACTTGTATCTTTTCCCCCTTTCTAAAAGAGTGTATTGATAGTAGTTACCCAGTTTTCTTGTGATGTCATAACTGTGGTTTGAGAATGGTTAAGTTTTTCATTTAGTCACAGATTGCTAAATGGCTCATGTGAAATACATCTGGACCTGATCAAGAAGAACATACCAAAGCCAGGTGTGGTGACTCATACCTACAATCCTAGCAGGAGGCAGAGATTGGGAAGATAGAGGTTTGAGGCCAGTCTGGGCAAACTTTTAGAGACCCTGTCTCAACCAATAAAAAAGCTGAGTGTGGAGAGCACACCTTTATCCTAGAGACTAAGAAGACGTAGTCCAAGTTGGTCTGAGCATAAAAGTGACACCCTATTTGAAAAATAACTAAAGCAAAAAAGGGCTGGTGATGTGACTCAAGTAGCAGAGTTCCTGTGCAGCAAGTGTGAGGCCCTGAGCCCATGCAGGTACACCGTACTGGGGTATACCCCAGTACCACCGAAAGAAAAAACAAAATGATTCCTGGTCTTGCAAGTGGATGCAGTAGCCAGCCTTCAAATTGTCTTCCCATTTTTTACTGTATAGGACAACTCTGTTTTGTTAATGGAGGATGTTTTTTCTTACCATTACATTCATGCATCACTTAACCATGGAGACAGATTCTAAGAAATATGTCACTGGGCAATTTTGTCATTGTGCAAACATCATAGGATGTATTTACACAAACTAAATGGCTATGACATCGATAGGCGACACACTTTTATGGGACAACTGCTCTATATGCAGTCAGTCCATCACTTGACTGAAATGTCATTGTGTGACACGTGACTGTATATGTGCTATGAAGCCAAATGGTAGAAGGTAGAAAACAGCTGTAGCCCTGTGTTTGTCTGTAAACAAGTTTTCTGGTGTGCTATTTCTTAATGGGACTCTTGTTTCCCCTCTCAATGCAAATCTGATGAAACTACTGATCATATTGTTTGCCACAGTAAGCCACAGGAGTCAATCACAGTTCCCCATCAACAATGGCTCAACCAATGGATGGTCACTTAACCTAGGAGAAAAGACTCCTTCCCTGAATTGTCAAGCTTTCTGTCCCCAGTGTAGTTGCTCAGCTGGGGCATCTGGCCCATGTCTTCCTCCCACATGACCCACAGTAGAAAACATGAGGCCAACTCACACAAAGAGCAGAGGGGAAAAAAGCAAACAGAAGAGGAGGTGGGGGGGACCAACTCATGGTGTTGAGTCCCAAGAACCAGACCTTGAGGCCTGGTGGTAAGCTCTGTGCGCAATTCCATAAGCTCCCATCCTTTTCAACTCTTGCCTTTTGCTTAAGATAGCATGAGTTGGGTTTCAGCCACCTATGGCAATTTAAAAAGCGACCTCAATATAAATTCAACACTGCAGTTTTAACAAGGGAGAGACAAAGACAGCATCCATAGGTAGGAAATGGTTTTACCTTTCACCTGAGCCCACATTGCACAGGAATATCTTCTCACCTATAAGGAAAACACAGCAGCACATTTAAAGAGGTGGCCCATAGTGTCAGTTTATACAGAGTAACTCAGAGGTCAAAGCCCTCTAAGTCTCAGCTTTTTACATCCTTATTTGAACTAGAAAATTTTTAAAGTCCCATCTGCTCTTATATCCTTTGTCTTGTGCACACATGCATAAACCCAGTCCTTGCTAGGCAAGTGCTTTGCCACCTCCTAGCCCTAGATATATCTCCAGTGTTCAAGGGACCAGCGTAGGTCACAGATATGGAAAAGGGACTGCATCTACAATTTCCAACAGCTCTCAGAAAGCGCACCCCATGGGTAAACAACAGAATGGCAAGAACCCCACTCCCAATGTCAGCTCTGAGCAACTGGCGTTGACTGCCTGGAGGACCCTGTTGAAAAGAATTCTGCAATCGCACCTGTTCAGCAAGTAGTGATGGATGTTATAAGCAAGGTTGTAAGAAGTCCTGATACATAATATTTCATCTATCTGGATGATACGTGATGACTTCGGTTACCCAACATGTATCTAAGAACCAGTAAAAAAAAAAAAAAAAAAAGCAACAAGAGCATGAGGGAACCTGTAAGCCCCCTGAAAAGGAGCGCTTTCCCTCCTCTCCATCATCAGTACATGCTTATTTGTCAATTAGGATTTTGGAGATTACTGCATATGGTAAGATTCAGCACAATGTCCCCAGAGATAGCTGAAGAGCAGGGGTTAAAGGAGCCCTCCAACCTCATTAGGAGATTCTCTTTCAAGTGACAAACTGGGCATTCTGGTTTTTATTTTGTTAAAAAAATTAAAAATATATTCAAACTGAAAAATTCTGGGAAAAGCTTAAAATAACCATAAGGTTTTGAAAGCAATTAAATTTTGCCTTAAGGCTAAGTATAGAGACTGGGAATGAAGTACTATGTAAAAATAATCAGAGAAGTACATAGTTCAAGACACTGGAGAAGCAAAGTGACCTCAAACAGCAAGGTGGTTACTAGGGAACCGAATGTATTAAAGAGAGAAATTGACAGGGGCCAGGTAAAGAAGGAAACTCATTAAACCAGAATGCCTTGATCAGCCATGAATTTTATAAAACTCATCCTGGCAATAGTGTGGAACAAGGAGATAGGCAGAAATAAGAGACAAGAAGACGAGTTCTTCTCTTTCAGAGAATGCTTAACATCGCTGATGAAAAGGAAAAGAAAGCATGGTTTTAAACAGCATTAAGGTGATAGAGATGACATGGTTGATGACAGACTAGATAAGAAGGTAAGGAAGAGGGAGGAGCAAGAATTATCCCTGTTTTCTGTCTTAGCTACTAGGCATAATGGTACAAATTACTAGAAGAAATCCTATTACTAGGACAGAAAAACAATATGGGGAGTTAGAAGACTCACACTTCCGAATTTCAAAATGTACTAACAAGCTACAGTAATCAAAACAGTGTGGTATGCTAAGATTCCACCTCACCCCTGTTAGACTAGCCATCATCAGCAACACCACCAACAGGTGTTGGTGAGGATGCAGGGAAAAAGGAACCCTCTTACATTGTTGGTAGGAATATAAACTAGTACAACCACTCTGGAAAAAAATTTGGAGGCTACTTAAAAAGCTAAACATTGATCTACCATATGATCCAGCAATACCACTCTTGGGGATATATCCAAAAGACTGTGACACAGGTTACTCCAGAGGCACCTGCACACCCATGTTTATTGCGGCACTATTCACAATAGTCAAGTTATGGAAACAGCCAAGATGCCCCACCACTGACAAATGGATTAAGAAAATGTGGTATCTATACACAATGGAATTTTATGCAGCCATGAAGAAGAATGAAATGTTATCATTCGCTGGTAAATGGATGGAATTGGAGAACATCATTCTGAGTGAGGTTAGCCTGGCCCAAAAGACCAAAAATCGTATGTTCCCCCTCATATGTGGACATTAGATCGAGGGCAAACACAACAAGGGAACTGGACCTTGATCACATGATAAAAGCGAGAGCACACAAGGGAGGGGTGAGGATAGGTAAGACACCTCAAAAATTAGCTAGCATTTGTTGCCCTTAATGCAGAGAAACTAAAGCAGATACCTTAAAAGTAACTGAGGCCAATAGGAGAAGGGGACCAGGAACTAGAGAAAAGGTTAGATCAAAAAGAATTAACCTAGAAGGTAACACACACACCAGGAAATCAATGTGAGTCAATGCCCTGTATAGTCATCCTTATCTCAACCAGCAAAAACCCTTGTTCCTTCCTATTATGGCTTATACTCTCTCTACAACAAAATTAGAAACAAGGGCAAAATAGTTTCTGCTGGGTATTGGGGGGGTGGGGGGGGAGAGGGAGGGGGCGGAGTGGGTGGTAAGGGAGGGGGTGGGGGCAGGGGGGAGAAATGACCCAAGCCTTGTATGCACATATGCATAATAAAAGAAAAAAAAAGTGTGATACTGGCCTAAAGACAGATAAAGATGTCGTTGAGATAGAATACAGAACCCAGCTATGAACACTTGAATCTATGTCAAATGATTTTTGACAGGAGTGCCAAGAACTGTCAATGGGAAAGACAAGTTTTTCAACAAATGGTGCTGAAAAAAAACAGATACGCACTTGCAAAACAAAAAAATTAGGTTGAACCCTTACCTAATGCAAACATTAACTCAAAATGGATGAAAGACCCAAATTTAAGACATTAAGCTGTAAATATTTTAGAAGATGATATAGAGGAAATGTTTCATGATATGACACCAACATCAGAGGTAGCAAAAGAAAAAAATACAAAAATTGGACTTCATCAAAATTAAAAACAAGTGTGCATCAAAGGATACAATTAACAGAGTAAAAATGCTACCAAGAGAACGGAAAAACACTTGCAAATTTCATATCTAATATGAGATATGAAAATTATCTGGACTAATATCCAGAAATGCAGAGAATACCTCAAACTCAACAACAAAAAAAGCAAACAATTCAATTAAAAAATGAGTAAAGGACTTGAATAGCCATTTCTCCAAAGAAGATACATGAGCAGTCAATAAGCACAGAAAACGATGCCAGCATCATGAATCACTAAGGAAATGCAAACCAAACCATGAGATGCCACTCCACACCCATTACGACACCTATTATTTAAACAAGTTCAAGGTAATATGTTCTGGGCTTTAACATTTCACTTCTTAGTTCCTACATAATTGTCACAAAGTAACGACTGGGCCTCTTTAGTACTCGGACATAATCTTAAAAGAAACCATTGGCTTAATATCAAGCGTATTAGGCTTGTGCCCTCTACAGAATTTAATGGATGTCTCAGTTTTAAATATGTGATGAGCCTTACAATTGAGGGGGGTACGTACTTTTGCTTCAAATGTGTCAGTCAAGAATGTTTCATTAGTAGTATATAATTTTGTCTATTTTCCATTACCAATCCATAGGAATTTACACCAAGGTTAGGATTCTCCTGGTTTAATCATCACCAGGTTCCTGTAGATCCTCTATGCCCAACTGACTGGTGCAGAGCTTGCTATTCTGCTTGGACAAATCATTGTATTTATTAACTATCTAGTGAACATTTCTGACTCATGAAGGAATCACTGCCAGAAGATACAGCACAGCCTTTCTAAGGTCAGGGGAGGGGAGAGCAGAATCCATGCTACAGTCAAGGAAGTGACGTAGGCAAGAAAAAAGGCTGTGCTGGGTTTGTCTGCCCTTCTCTCCTGCTTCCCAGGAAGAATGGAAGGAGGCGGCATCCTGGATGGGGTACAAGGGAAATTGATAGATATAAATGCTCCTTTCCATTTCAGGGTTCAGCAGTGCCACAGAATCTGGGGACTTGTGAAGCTTAAGAAGAACCCAAACCAGATCAGTCCAAATGCTGGTCCAACAGGAAAATTCAGTCTGTCTATACCTGCAAGAGTTTCACTTGGGTAGGGGAGGGGGCGGGGGGGGGGGGGGAGAAATGACCCAAACATTGTATGCACATATGAATAAAATTTAAAAATAAAAAAATTTAAAAAAGAGTTTCACCTGCCCATCCTGTGCAAGGCAAAGCATTCAACATAAGCATCAAAAGCACATTTAAATAGTTCGTCTCAAACACTAGAAGACACATGTTCAAACATTTAAATCTCATGTGAAGAGGGAAACACAGAGTTCACAAGAACTTTTAAAGAACTATACCTTATTCCATTCACTTGTGATTCGTAATACAATGCAGTAGTCATTTCCTGTCTTCAAGGGAGCGTTATAGTACTTCCCATAGTATAGCCTGTCGCCGATGGATAGCTCCATGGCATCATTTGCAAAGTCTTTGGCCAGTACTTCTGCAGCCACATATCCATCAGCATCAGAGCTGTTGCTAAAGAATGAGGTCACCCCTTCAGAATCACAAGCAAATGTGCTTTGCAGGCCCAGGGGAAGCACCAACACCTGATAGGAACTGGAAGAAAAAAGAAAGCAGAGAAATTGGCCGGGACCCAGTGAAGAAGGAAGCTCATTAACCCAGAGGGCCTGGATTAGATGTGCCATTTCCTAAAGCTCACCTATCACACCCTTGCTTGGAGGATTCATTTATTCAGATTTACAGAATTACGATGAGACAGACACTTCTGAGGCACTGGGGACACAACACTGACCCAGAAAAAGTCCTGGCCCATCTGGGATTTATTGGCAGCTCCAACAGTCATGGAACTCCAAGCTAACCTACTGTGTTAATGCCAAATGAGGCTGGGTGAGCAAGCTCTCAGGTCCCAGCTGTGGATGGATACCAAGTACATCCTCTGGGGCAGGAGAGAGAAGTTGTGACATGCCTTGCTGCCTTGTGTGTCTGTCGTGAAATTAACCAGTGATTTTTCATGTGGGCAGTCAAGCCCAGCAGGAGACAGGATTTAGCAGTCACATGAAGGCCAACTGCCTATAACAGTTAAGGTACTAAGTCTTCAAAGAGCCTTCAGACAATCACATGGCAACTGAAGACAGGAACTCATGTGATTTACACTCCCCACAGTTCATAAGCTGGCACCAAAATTCATGTGAAATCAATGAGAAGAAAGGAGTACAAAGCCACCATGAGGAAATCTAGGCTAACGAGATCCTGAAACGGCCAGAAAAGTGAAATGACGTATGTGCATTATGAAACTGTCCCCTAAGATGTGGACAACGAAACATGATAACAACCTGGTGTCATTTGGTCATGTGTTTTATGAGTATTTATCCAACCAAATAGAACACTCTGCCAGTGAAAGGAAGTGTAAGAATAAAAATGCATTGTGAGTGACTCATGCTTTACTTTCCTTCCCATCTATTCAGCCCTTACCTCCAGCCTCTGGTATAGTAAATGTTTGAATACCTATCTCTATCTGGTTTGATAGTGGGTTTAAGTGACTTACCCTTGTATCCTTGCAAGTCCTTGAACAGTTCTTTGGCTAAGATCAACTCCCCCATCCCATAAATGCTTCTTGAGTTGAACTTTAAGTAAGGAGGAAAACTGCATCAGTACCAAATACAATTAGGGTAATTTCCAAAAGTCATTAGGCCACATAATTCTATTTTATCACCAAATTTGTACTTCCTGCTCTACTTCCCTAATGCCCCATTCTTCTGCTTCCTAAAGGCCCATGAATCATTAGGCAAAGAAGAGGGAACCTTCCCACAATACATGTTGTATTTGGAAAGTCTCCAGTCACCTACCAGGTTCCCACACATCCTCAGGGCCCTGATTTCCACAAAGTCTGGCTCACTTTCAGCAAAGAGCTTGGTACAAAAGAGACAAAATAAAACCTGCAGGGGAACATGATGCATCAGTAAACGTTTACTGAGTATCCACTGCCTGCAAGGAACACTGACAACAAAAACTTTCCTGGGGGCTTGAAGACATGCCCATGAATCGTGGCCACAGGTGAGGAAGTAAGTGTAGCAGCTTCATGCTGTCCTTTCAAGCTCATCTTTCCACATAGAGAGTGATGGTGAAGTGCAAGTTCAAGGCTCACCTGCACCCATTTGATTCTGTACATTGCCCACTACAGGCACCAAGCAGCTCCCCATTTCGCCAGGTAATTATACAAAGTCCCAGACCCTATTCCAGACCTATTGAGTCAGAATCTCCAGGAGTACAGTTTGGAATTTGTACTGCTGATTAAGCATGGCAGGTGACTCCTAGTACCTAGCACAGGTGGGAAACACTAGCATCAAGGGAGCCCAGCAACAGGCCAAATCATCTGCCTAACATCAGCAAGCTCAGGAAGGCAGACTTGGCCCCAGGGTCCCTGATCCACAAGGTGCTCCAAGCCACTGCCCTTAAACAAGACACATAGCAGATTCAGGCCTGGCAAAGCTGCTGGCTCCAGCTTAATCCAGGCAGTCAGGCTGAGGAAATCACCCCACTCACTGCTGGTAATGAGCACCAGTGACGTCAGGGAAGCAGTGGCAACAGTTTGGAACTTGACCGTTCTGGAAGGACTTCTCTCTTTTTCACCACCACCCCCCTAAATGACTCACAGATCTCTACTTCCTGTTTTGAATGCACTGGCCAGCACATTGCCACAAGGATAGACTGTCATTTAGCTTTTCTTTTTGCCTTATGTAATTATCTGGCTTAAGTATCACATTTGCTCTTGCAAATTCTTTCAGGCAATGATGTCATTACCTCTGTCTTTACAACAACAGAATTACAATGCCTTCCAGTAACTTATCAGGAATGGAGGAACAACCAATATACAATGTCCATCCTGAAAAGACCTGAACTTAAAACTAACATGGAGTCATAGAATAAATAAAGGAGGAAGTCAAAATGTCTCTGGAATTTAATGAAAATGAAAATACAACCAACCAGAACCTATGGGACACAGCAAAGGCAGTCCTAAGAGGGAAGTTAATAGCCATGAGTGTATATATTAAAAACACAGAAAGATTTCAGATAAACGACCTAATGCTACACTTCAAACTCCTAGAAAAACAAGAACAAGCAAATCCCAAAACAAGCAGGAGAGAAATAATAATGAGGGCAGAAATCAACAAAATAGAGACAAAAAAAAAAAAAAAAGCCGTACACAGAATCAATGAAACAAAAAGCTGGTTCTTTGAAAAAATAAACAAGATTGACAAGCCCCTGGCAAATCTGACTAAAATCAGGAAGAAAAGACCCAAATTAATAAAATTAGAAATGAAAAAGGGGAGATAAAAACAAACACCAAGGAAATTCAGGGAATCATCAGAGACTACTTTGAGAACCTATATTCCAATACATTGGAAAATCTTGAAGAAATGGACAAATTTCTAGATACTTATGACCATCCAAAACTGAACCAAGATGATATTAACCACCTAAACAGATCTATAACACATAATGAAACTCAAACAGCAATCAAGAGTCTCCCCAAAAAGAAAAGTCCAGGACCTGGTAGATTCTCAGCTGAATTCTATCAGACATTTAAAGAACTGATACCAACCCTCCTTAAACTGTTCCACGAAATAGAAAGGGAAGGAAAACTGCCTAACTCAATCTATGAAGCCAGTATTACACTCATCCTAAAACTGGACAAGGACACATCCAAAAAAAATAGTACAGTCCAATCTCCTAAATGAATATTGTTGCAAAAATCCTTAATAAAATAGTGGCAAACCAAATCCAACGACATATCAGAAACATCATTCATCATGACCAAGTCTGCTTCATCCCAGGGATGCAGGGATGGTTCATCATATGAAAAGCATTAAAAGTAATACAGCATATTAACAGAAGCAAAGGCAAAAACCACCTAATCATCTCAATAGATGAAGAAAAAGCCTTCCATAAAATTCAACACCATTTCATGATAAAAGCTCTGATGAAACTAGGAATAGAAGGAATGTACCTCAACATAGTAAAAGCTATATATAACAAACCTATAGCAAACATCATACTTAACGGAAAAAACTGAAACCATTTCTCCTAAAGTCAGGAATGAGACAAGAGTGCCCACTCTCTCCACTCCTATTCAACATTCAACATAGTCTTGGAATTCCTAGCTGGAGCAATAAGGCAGGAAGAAGAAATAAAAGGAATACAAATAGGTAAAAAGGTAAAAAAAATGTCAAATTATCCCTATTCACAGATGACATGATTTTATACCTAAAAGATCCGAAAAACTCCACCAAAAAAACTCCTAGACACCATAAACAGCTTCAGCAAAGTAGAAGAATACAAAGTCAACTTATAAAAATCAGTAGCCTTTCTCTACACCAAGAATGAACAGAATGAGAAAGAATGTAGGAAAAAATTCCATTTATAATAGCCTCAAAAAAATCAAATACCTAGGAATAAACTTAATAAAGGATGTAAATGACCTCTACAAGGAGAACTACAAACCACTGAAGAAAGAAGCTGAAAAAGATTAGAAGAAGATGGAAAGATCTCCCAAGCTCATGGATTGACAGAATCAGCATAGTAAAAATGGCTATACTACCAAGAGCAATCTACATGTTCCAACACAATACCCATCAAAATCCCAATGACATTCATCACAGAGATGGAAAAATCTACCCTAAAGTTCACTTGGAATCACAAAAGACTGCCAATAACCAAGGCAATACTGAGCAAAAAGAACAATGCTGGAGGTGTACTAATACCTGACTTTAAACTATACACAGAGTCATAGCAATAAAAACAGCATGGTACTAGCACAAAAACAGATATAAAGACCAGTAGAACAAAACAGAGAACCGGATATGAATCCACAAAGCTACACCCACCTAATTTTTGACAAAGATGCCAAAAACATATGATGGAGAAAAGACAGCCTCTTCAACAAATGTCGCTGGGAAAACTGGATATCTGCCTGCAGAAAATTGAAACTAGATCCATGTTTGTCACCCTGTACAAGTATCAACTCAAAGTGGATTAAGGACCTTAATATCAGACCTGAAACCTTGAAGCAAGTACAGGAAAGAGCAGGGAATACACTGGAATCAATAGACATAGGCAAGGACTTCCTCAGTAGAACTCAAGCGGCTCAGCAACTAAGAGACAGGATTGACAAATTGGACTACATGAAATTAAAAAGCTTCTGCACAACAAAAGAAATGGTCTCTAAATTGAAGAGACCACCCACAGAGTGGGAGAAAATCTTTGCTAGCTATATATCGAACAAGGAGCTGATAACCAGAATATACAGGGAGTTCAAAAAACTGAACTCCCCAAAAATCAATGAACCCGTAAAGAAGTGGGCAACTGAACTCAGAACTTTCTCCAAGGAAGAAGTCCGAATGGCTAAAAATGCTCATTGTCCCTGGCCATAAAGGAAATGCAAACCAAAACCACATAACATTCTACCTCACTCCTGTTAGAGTAGCTACCATCAAGAACACCACCACAAACAAATGTTGGCGAGGATGCAGGGGAAAAAGGAACATTCATACACTGCGGGTGGGTGTGTAAGCTAGTACAACCACTATGGAAAACAATATGGAGGCTCCTTAAAAAACTAAACACAGATCTGCCATGTGATCCAGCAATCCCACTCCTAGGGATACACCCAAAGGAATGTGACTCAGGTTACTACAAAGATACCTGCACACCCATGTTTACTGCAGCACTATTTATAATAGCCAAGCTATGGAAACAGCCAAGATGTCCCACTACTGATGAATCGATTCAGAGAATGTAGTATATACACACAATGGAATTTTACTCAGTCATAAAGAAGAATGAAATTTTGTCATTGGCAAGTAAATGGATGGAACTGGAGAACATCATCTTAAGTGAAGTTAGCCAGGCTCAGAGGCCAAAAATCACATGCTCTCCCTCATGTGCAGATTGCAGACCTAAAACAAATGCAGTAATATTATGGGACATGGGTCACACTGAAGGGAGGCTATGCAAAGGAGGGATAGGGCAAGGGAAGGAAACCAAAAACTTGAATGAGGTTGATGTGCTCACTGTACAGGAATGAACATAAAAATTTTAAACTGGCCAGGGCCACCAAGGGAAGGGGACTAGGGAGGAGTGAAGAGGACTGGAAGAGGTGAATCAACTGGAGCTCTAATACACATATGCACGGGAACAACACAAGGAAACTCCCTGTGTAGCTATGTTTATCTCAACTAGCAAAATGTCATGTTTCTCATTTTATCTTCTACAAAATTGGAGAATAGGAGGGCAGAACAGGTGCTGCACGGGGTGTGGAGGGGGTGTGGTTGGCACCAGTGGGACGGGGAAGGTGACAGGGAAAGGGGGAGGAGGATTAATATAGTGCAGATAGTGTATACACATGTACGTAAATGCAAAAATGATACCCGTTGAAACTGTTCCAGGAATCAGGGAAGGGGAAGAGGAGAGAAGTGGAGGGGGGATTTCAAGTATGATATAGTTGAGACACTGTAAAAACCTTTGTAAATGCCACAATGTACTCCCACCCAGCACAATAAAAAGAATAATATGGAAGCAGAGAAAGCCTAATTTTCATAGTCAATGGACACACAATATTTCCAGGTTTTCTTTTCCTTAATTTCATTATTTATTTGTTTATCTGTTTATTTATTTATTGGTGGGACTGAGGTTTGAACTCAGGGCTTTGTACTTGCAAAGTTCATAATTTTCATCTCTCTTTTTGGTGGTACGGAGGCTGGACTCAGGGCCTCCAGCTCACTAGGCAGGTGTACTATCACTTGAGCCACGCCCCCCACCTCTCATGTTTACTTTTACCCTGATGGCACTGAGGGGTCATTAGACTGAAGGGTCAGGTGGGAAATAAAGCCAGATAGGTCAGGCTATGCACACTGTCACCTCCTTGACCGGGTTCTGTGAGCAAGTTGCTGTCCACAGGCCAACCCTGATCTTCCTCCCTAAAAAGGGGACTGGTTCTACTTTCTTCATCCTGCCATGACCTTTGTAAGTAAAATGCAAAATTGAACACAAAGCGTTCCTCCAACAAAGGTAAATTAATTCCATCCTGATACCATCTGGAATCCCAGAAGCGGTCATTAACTACACAGTGTCTTGCCCATAACTCAATATGTGAGTGGATGAAATGTATTATCCAAATGACCTTTTCAGAAACTACTACACCCACCCCAAGTCCAGCCTGACATAAAAAGGAACATATTCTATCTCTGGCAAACAAAATGACCCACCATTACTTAAGGATGCACTATGAGGAGTAAAGACAAAGGGCAATGCCTAATGTTGTCAACCAAGGTTTGTCAACGACTAAAGGAGCAAGTTTCATTTCTTGGGCTAGGCTGCCCAAATCCTTGTCTATGGTCCCTTAGAAGTTTCTCTTTTCATTTGAAGGATGCTGTTAGGACTAAAGGCTCCATCTGTGCCTAAGGAAACAAAACAAGAGGCCAGGCTGCCTTGCCCCAACTACTCAAGTGCAGCCATGCTCAGAGAAAGTTTCCAGAACACTTCAGGAGGATCACTGGCCAACTGTGGAGAAAGAATAGCTGCTGACCTGATAGGTCCACTTTTCTCCTTGGCTTTCCTCAGTCTGAGGCGTGGTAGAGGCCCTCCATGTACTGTGAAAAATTCTACTTCCGGAAGGGGAGGCTCTGGAAACATTAAAAAGAAGAAAGGAGAAGGGTATGATCAGAACAAGTGAAAAAGCACCAAGAAAGCCATCCTCATAGAGGACATTAAATTTGTAATCTAAAAAATGAAGAGCATATTCTGACACATCCTATAACATGGATGAATCTTGAAAACATGCTAAATGAAATAATCACACACAAAAAGACAAATGCTGTAATGACTGCAGTTTTATGAAATATCTACAATAGGCAAATTGAGAGAGACAGTTGTAGATTATAGGTTGCCAGGGATTGGTGGGATGGGTGGTGAATAAGGGCTTATTGCTTAGTGGTCAGAAGTTCTGTTCAGGGTGACAAAAATAGGCTGGAAATAGATAATACTGATGGTTGCACAATATTGTGAGTGTACCTAAATGCTAATGACTTGTATACTTACAAAATGGTTTAAATGGTACATTTTATATTATGTATATTTTGCCACAGTTCACTTTACAGCCTGTGTGGGGAGTAGGTTCTCATTTGGTGGGTGCTATGATTAGGTTATGGTTAAAATGTGCCTTCAAAAATTTTTGTGTTGGAAGCTTGGCCCCCAGCGTACTAATGTGAGAGGTGGCAGATCTTTAAAAGGTGGGCTTAGAAGATAATTAGGTCACTGGGTGTGACAAAGGCTGGTCTCAAGGAGTGAGTTAGTTCCCAAGAGTGGGTTGTCATAAAAACCCCATCTCTGCTTCCTGTTTCCCCATGTGGCCCCTTCCACATGTATTCCATCATGATTTCATCAGCCATGGGGCCCTGACCAGAGGCCAAAATGATGGGGCAGCCCCAGTTTTGTATTTCCAACTTCCCAAAACTGTGAGCTAAATAAATCTCCTTTCTTTACCCAGCCTTGGATATTTTGTTATAGCAAGGGAAAATGGACTAACATAGTGGGGAAGACAAGTGTATCAGACTTCTACATCCTTTTTTTTTTTTTTATAAAGTAGGATTTATTAGAGAGAAAGGAAAGGCTACAGCTAGAGAAGCACAGCAGAGCCCGGAAGCCGGTGGCTCCTTCTACATCCTTTATAATCACAGTGCTCTGTTCTTATTTTGTCCTCTCCTGCAACCTGATTTCCCAAATAGGATTTTCATTGAGAGGAAAACATACTGACTGGCTGACACCAGTATTTTAGCAGCTCACTGGTAAATACATTTAGAATGTCAATGCACCAGCTGCTGGTCTTCCCGTGGCAAGATGGACTGGTCGCTAACCATACACACTAACTGTGTCCGGTGTATGCCTTACCTTACTTAATCACCCCATCAACACTGCCAAGTGGATGATGTTTATGTCTCCCTCCCTTGGTTTCCTACCTTGGCTAACACAGCAGGAACTTCTTTCCTGAAATACTAAAAGAAAGTTTACCTCTGCCCTTCTATCCACACGATTTGTGAGAGAGCCAGTATTTAGCTATTGTTCCCAGATGGTCTTACCATTTTTTTTTTCTTTTTTTGTGGGTCTTAGGCAACCTGAACTCAGGACAGGTGCTTTTGCTTCCTGCTGCCCTCCTCCATGCACTAGGTGAACCTGAGTCAAGGCACGTCTGAAGCCAGGTGTACGTTTGCCCTAGAGATTCAACTTCCCCATAGGTAGAGGGCAAAGTTGAGATGTGGTAGGAAGTTCCAGGAAGCTTTATTTTGGCCACAGTCCTAGGCAAGTCTCACCAGCAATAAAACTATCACTGGATCCCTATCTCACTCTTGTGTGCACGGAACAAGTATGATTAATACTTTCAAAAATCTCATTTTTCAGATGAGAGAACTGACACACAGAGAGACCGAGTTACTTTCTCAAGAGCACACAAGCATGAACAGAGCCAGAATTTGAATCCATTCTCTGCTATCCACCTTTCTCATTCACCTTGGGGTCTCTTGAAGGTTTTGCTCCACCAAAGTAACCTAGTAGGTTTTCATCACCTTCAAGTGAAGCAATAAAATCCGCCTCCCTTTTTTTGAGGTCCTGGGGATTGGACCCAGGGCCTCACACTTGCACGACACTCCTAGCCCTTTTGTTTCTCTTTTGTTTTTGTGACAGGGTCTCACTAACTTTGCCTGTGCTGGCCTCGAACTCACAATCCTCCTGTCTCTTCCTCACAAGTTGCTGGAATTACAGGTATGCACCACTATACCCTGACTTCCCTGTGGTTGTGACGGGGCTATCACTCAGTGCTCCAAAACCCCTCTGGCTAGACCATGGGGACCATGGATCACCACATCCCAGTCACAGGATGGGTCAAGAAGTACAATCCATTTGACTTGAGGAGACTAGAAGGTCTTATCCTTCTTCCTGGATGGTACCGTAAGTGCCAGGGAAGCCAGGGGTATGATGCCATCCTCCCGGGTCTGTGAAAGACCTTGGCAGGCAGAGGGCAGCACAGTTGGAAGAGAACAACAAGGCTCTGATGAATCATTTGTGGCTCGATCCTGCTGTGCTGTAAGCAAGATCCATTCCTGGACTTCCCGGATCTGCAATCCAGCAAATTCCATATGCTTAAGTGGGTTTGAGTTGAGTTTCTGTCATTTGCAACCCAAAGAGCTCTGACTAATTATAGGAGGCATCCAGTACCCTGGTACTCTGGTAGAGGGCAGAACACACAGCTGTGTGCTTGAGAGGGCTCTGGGACTGGGCCAAGCGGAAACTGTTCCTTTGCACTTGTGTGGGAAGAATTGCTGTGAATCCCAGGCACATCCCAATCCCTCTGTGATGGACATAATGAGGGCAGCAGGAAGAATAACTTTAATTAGACCATGGACTAAGTCATCTCTTGTTTGGGATCTATCATTGCATCAACTCAGTAGGGGAAAGGAGAAAGAAGGATTTGGAGGGAGAAGGAAAAAGAGAAAAAATATACATACAGTGCCTCCCTGATGCTGCCCCCCAAGTTCTGCTCCCTGCCACAGTGAAATTAAGGACTGGCAGGCCAAAACAGGCACTCAAGACTACTTACTGGGTTAGAAAATAACTTAAAATAAATTATAATAAATAAAACCACAGATGTGCCAGGACTTTTACAGTTTTTAAAGCTTTGGAACAGACATTATTCATACATCTGCACGCAATACACACTTTGTTGTCAGGGGAGGGCAGTGAGACAAGATCTTAGTATGCAGTTCAGGCTGACCTAGAACTTGCTATCCTCCTGCCTCAGCCTCCCAAGTGCTGGGATTTCAGGCATGTACCACCAGCTCCACTCAAAATACACTTTTTAGCCACCATCTGCACCAGGTTCTATGCTAAACTGGGGGAGACATGGTCTTTGCTTTCTAGGAGCTTACAGCCTAATAGTGGAGGTAGTTTTATAAAACAGGCAGTACTCAGAGCTACGAGAAAGTTACACATAGGGTTCAATAGGGTGCAGGGGAATTGAGCCACCAAATACAGAAGCAGACACCTATAGAGGCCTAGGGTAAGGTGCAGGATCAGTGACAGAACTGCAGGGAGTTCGTAGTGAAAGGCTGAGTTCAGGCAGCAAGGAGGCAAGGAGTAAGGTTGGAGGAGTAGATGCAGTCAGATCTGAGGTCCAGAAAATCTTAAGAAGCCATTTAGAGACTTTCAGCAGATTTGGATTTCAGAAATCCAGTGTAAAGAGCTGACTCAAGGATGAATTGGAAAAGGCAAAAGCACAAGTTCCCTAATAATCTAGATGTGCCTGAGGTCTGAAGCAAGTGATGACACTAAGAATGGAGAAGAAGGGACAGATGCAAGCCATGCTCCAGGGACAGGTGGAGAAGAAGGTGGTACAAGACAGGAAGGGGAGGAGTCTGGGCTTTGGTCTGGACCACTAGGTCAGTGATGATGTCACTGGCCAAGTCTGGAGGAAAGGTTGAAAGCAGCTCACTCTGGCCTCCTGAAGCTGAGGTGCATTTGGAACCATCCAGAAGGCAGCTAGAAATCTAGGGCCAGGGCCCAGGAGCAAACTCTGAGGGGAAGACAGGGTTCATCTCATAAGCAGCAGTGAGTACAGCTGCTGGGATAAAAGAATAAACAAGGGCCAAGGTGGACCAGGGGAAAGCCAGGTGCAAGAGAGAGATGCCTATAGCTCCTGTGAAAGTGTTAAATTTGGAATTTCTTCCAAAGCCACTAAGATGGCTAACACAGACCATACATTTTTCATAAACCTGAAACCTGTGGGATTGCCAGGGACCCTGGGGGGGAAGCTACTGGCCACACTGCCCTTTGCCAGTCTAGTATGGTTCTCTAGTTTTAAAGAGTCACTGTCACCTGGCTGATTCAAGCATTCAACCAATATGCGACTTCTAGACTGTTCTTCCCTGCTTACTGAAGGCCATCCCATTATACATTAAACAGTCTATTTTTCCTCTCTAACATGGAAGCCTGAACCTCAGTGGGTCAGTTCTCAACTACCCTTCACAGATAAATAAAATAACCTTGACTTCTTGCTCTCTTTGCCCAAGTGTTGTTTTTTGTCTCCCAAAGTTGCTGCCCTGGCAAATCTGCTCTTCTTTCCAGGAGCTCTTTTGCCCTGGGGATATGAGACAGAAAGGAAGCAGAAGGCAAACCTTCTTTATCATTCCTACACCATCAACAACTTCAACCTTCTGCAAATGACAGAAGAAAATCGGTTACTGTGTGAGAAAACTTTGAAGAATAAGGAGAAAAGTAATGAAGGAGAACTTGTACCACAAATAGTAGATATATTATGAAATCACAATTGAAATATAAGATAGAAGCACAGGAAAGGCAAAAACAAGGGAAACACAGGCAGCCCAGAAGAGACTTAAATAAGTAGAAAATGTACCGGGGGACATGGACACCATTTCAAAAGGTGACAGGAAATGGGCTTATCAGTTGAGGAGAAAGAACTACCATGTAGGCTTAGTCTCACTTTGTACATCAAAACAAATTCCAAATGGATCTACCTTTTAAATGCAAAAGGCAAAACTATTAAGAAGCATAGGAAAGTATCAGAGAATAAGAACTGATCTGATTTCAAGTGGGTAAGGCTTTTCTTCAGTATGAC